CAACACGAATCTAGACCATTCATTTGGTGAATTTCAAAATCTTAACCTTTACAAACTCGAAAGCATTTTGTTCTTTTTTAATAATAAAGCCATCCAAAAAAATTGGAAAGAAAAAAACCTTCTAAGCCCTAAATCTAAACATCTTATCAAAATGGACGGCCTATGTTAATTGAGTTAAAAAACACTTTCTAGATTGCATTTTTAAAATTTTCTTTTTTGTGATTGTTCATTAGAATGAAAAGAGTATATATTTTAAAATTTGGATCAAAGAAATGACCTTAACATAGTTTTTGAAGATTGTTGCATTATATTATTATACAACTATTGTATGAACCCCAAGTTTTTTTTTGGCAATTTTTACATCATAATAAACTTTTATAGCAAATACCCCCCAAAATCAAAAAAATATATTTTTTTGACAAAAATACCCTTCCCCATACATAGAAATTATGTTGGGCTACGGACTCACAAATATAGTGTTGGACCAAGAGAAAAAAGTGTTTGACCACCTTTAAAAAGTGTGTAACCAAGAGAAAAAAGTGTCAGGCCACCTTTAAAAAATGTCAGACCGCCTTTAAAAAGTGTCGGACTACTTTTATAAAGTGCTAAACCGCCTTTAAAATGTACCTTTTTGACTAAATGGAATTGAGCATCAAGGTTGACAAGTGCGCAGTAAGAAGCGTGCCGTAAATTCCTAACATTGCGGCCATGCAGCGTTAGTTGTTTTTCAATAAGGTAGGTTCCGAAAGCCTTTTTGTGCCTGTCAGAGTTGAGCTACGACTTGGTGCTCCGACGAAGTCAATGGAGGAAGTTTCTTTCAAGTGTGTATCTTTTGGGAGAGCTGAATCAAGACCATCTAGATAGAGTCGAGTAGCTTTCTCAACTCCTGATTGGTGTCCCTTCTCTTCGTTTCGCCTTTATGTTCTTTGTCTAAAAACTTATGACTTTTTGACTTGAGGGTATTTGCTATGAAACTTGATGTTGGATAAAAATTGTGAAAAAAAATTTGGTATCGAGAGGTTGTCTAGAACATCTACTTTTAGCAGTATTTGCAATCGTCCCAATTATAAATTTGTAAAAACTCTACTATGGGGTGGGCCCTCCACATTTTTATACACTTTTAGACAATTTAAATAAAAAACAAGAAAATGTGTTTGAAAAATAGAATGGAAGCTTTTTTAACCAATTGATTTATCTGGTTCAAAAAAAAAAAACAAACACAAAAATAGTAAATAAAAGACTTGAAATATATTAAAAAATTAATCAAATTGTTTTTCTGATAAAACCAGTCGGTTCCGTTAGAGAATTGGTACGAACCGATCTGGACCGACCGGTTCAAAGGGGAACACACCCAAATCCAGATATATTATAGGTTCTGAAATAGTCAGGAGGATTCCTAATCCAAATTGAACGATTCCGATCCAAATCGCCAAAATTTCCATCACTGAGTTTAAGTAGTTTAAAATCATGAGAGGAATCCTCCTCGCGTCTCTTCGTGCATTCGGGCCCCAAGCTCTTGAAATTTTGGCCTATACAGGAATGTGGAAGAAGGGTACCAAATAATGAAGGAAATCCACCCGAAAAATTATATCACACATTCCAGCTTCATTGCCCAAGCAATCAATTTCACATATCTACATATTACAACATCTACATATTACAACATGAGATTAGATATTTTTTAGGACAGGAACATCCATCAATGAAGAGAAAATAGAAAAGTTTAGACACTATATATAGAGTACAATTTTTTGCAAGTTAGCAAATATGTATTTCACAATATAAAAAACTTCCAAAATGTACCACAACAAATGGCCAAATGCCCAGAGGCTTAAACCATGAGAGAGAGGGAGAGTTTTCACCATGACATCTACAGTTATTTTAACAAAAATAGAATAAAAGAAAAAAGAATATGCAGCTCTCATAATTTAACAATGTTTAACAACATAAAACATCACACCTACAAGTACAAGGCAACAAGAGGAGAAGAAGTAAACCATAGAAAAAGCAAGCACTAAGTGATTTTGTTTATCCTCCCTATTCTGGTGGCTGCTTTCACAGGGTCAGTGCATGTAGTCCTCTCCCACTTGCACAGCCCTAAACAATTCTTCATTCCTTTATGTTTTTCCCTTTTCTCTCCTGTGAAAATAGTCCAGAAAGCGTTGTCAATAGGACACTGCAGATACACCATAAAAAGACTTTGATTAAGGTTGCAGAAAAGAAAGAGGCAAAATATGAACATGATATGAATCTAGCATACAATGCTCATGAAGATCATTTTCAAATAATACACCTTGGAAGACAAGAAAACAGCACAAATGCTATAGTATATCAAAATGTAGCGAACAAAAATACTCTCCAAAAGGAAGTATATGAAGTTGGACAGCCAACAAAGTAGCTACATGAGTCTTTATACTTAAATCCCGAATCAAGGATAACTTGAGTGTCGAATATATCTAGGAAAAGTTGTTTTGGAAGAAAAAAACCGTCCTGGAAATTATTGGCCACATAAAAAATCACTGCAAAGATTCTGGCCTCTATCCACAGATAAAGAAAATATACAATCTAATTATTTTAATTCTTGTTTACTAGAAATGAAGGCCTCAAAATATTCAAGGAGCTCTAGTCATTTTGGAAACAGATAAAATGCATTTTTTTACTTCCAAACAATGTTAGAGGGCTTTGCTTTGCTTCGTTTTTTTTTGTGATTATTTATTTTTGAGAAAGAGTATTTTTTTCTGTGATTATTTCCAGAATTAAAATTAATATTTCTTTACAAAACCTAAGATACACTGCCAGAAATTAATATTATTTCAAAATCCATCCCCATTTTCATGAACAGTGAGCAAAGGATAAAGCCAACTGTTGACATTATGCAAGTACCACAAGGAAAGCCAAGACTTTTTTCTTCTTCTTTATTTACTCTTTTATATTATTTATAGCAAGTGTAAAACCAGACCTCTTGTACAGTTAATTAACAAAGAATAGAGACAAAATTGTACAAAAAAGAAACGAAAAAGGACTGCCCTCTGGACCAGGGTTAGAAGATTTGTTTGGGAAGCCCCTCTTTAGTGAGGCTATCCCGAATTGCATTGGCTTCATGCCAAGCGTGTTGGGAAGACACCTCAAGAGATTCAATGGGCTAAAAAATATTCAAACACTGGCTCCAGTCTCCAAGCACAAGCAGAAATCCTACAAGCCCAATTGATTCCTAGATTGCTTTTGCACATGAAGCTAGCTGGCAACTCCAGCACCATCTTGTCCCTGCCATGGCGAGGACAGACATTTGGGTTAAGGGGTTATCAGGTCTTGTATTTCATCATTGGACAATTCTGTTCTAAACCTCGGATCAAACAGTGTGCCTAACGAGAACTTTGTTTGCTTCAGAGACATGACAACCTTGGTCAGTTGCCACTAGGAATATTATAGGGAATTGGGCTTCCAAACTGCTTTTATCATGATCATTGATGGCTCCACATCTGAATATTAGCTCTACTTTCTGCCATGAACTAAGTATGAAATGGTGGAAATATGCAGAGATGATACTTTTCCAATCCCCTAGGCCCTTGCATTGGTTGAACCTCTAGCAAAAGCCTAAGTCCTAGCAGCCATACCTTCACTGAATAACCAGCGTCCAAAGTTTAGTCATCCTGCATTGCAAAGTGCCACCGCCATTTTCCCAACATGGCCCTATTCATCTCCTTTAAGCACCAAATGTGCATTCATCCATACCTAATGGATTTGCAAACAGTGTCCCACTTTACTAGCTGAAACTTATGTTTTCCTCGTGCCCTTGACCAAAGAAAGTTCTCATTAGGAGCTGAAGTCTCTTAACAACAGATATCCTCCTAAAGGGAGACATCTGGGAAACTGGGATATTGAAGATAGTGGCTTTTATGAGTGTAGTCCTGCCTCCTTAAGGAGAGAATGTCCTTTTCAAGACGCCAGTCTTCGCACAAACCTTTCCAAGACCCCATCGCAGCGTTTATTTCTCGGTTTTCACAGGCATAGGGGCTGACCCAGATACTTGTTTGGTAATGAGTCGAACCCCATGGTCCAACCTATTTGCTAATCACTGCATTTGCATCGACCCCACCCCCCATGTGCTTGGCTTTGCTTCAAGACAGTGTAAGAACAACCACTGGAAGTCAACTTGTTGAGGGGTGATGCCACAAAACACCGATGTGTCGTCATAGTACTGTAGATGAAAGATAGACCACTTAGAGAGGACTGGAAACCTTAGGCAAAACTGTGGCTACAGGTTGGCTATTGGCTCACTGAACACTACATAAGTGATAGCAAACAAAAAGGGTGACAGCAGTTCTACCTATCAGAGAACCCTAGATGTTGAAAAGTAGCTGTTGCGAGGACTCCAATTGATCAAGACTGATGCGATACACCCAGAGATCCAGGATCTCCAATTCTAACTAAAGCTCATATGGTGGAATTGGTCCAGCAATTCCCAATTGACATGGTTGTAAGCTTTATCCCAATCTAATTTTAAGACCTAGCCGGGAACAATATATTTGTGTCTTGCATGAACGCATTCTTGTGTGAGTGCAGACCCATCGAAGATCTGTCAGTCCTTTGATGAAAGTGATTTGGTTTGGAGAGGGAACACTATCGGGAAGTTCCCTTAGTCTAGTGCCAACACTCTAAAGAGAATTTTGTAGGCGTTGTTGAGTGGATCTATGTGCCTAAAGTCTTTGAACTCCATTGCTCCTTCTGTCATAGGCACTAGGGCGATGAAATTAGAGTTCATCCCCTTGTGATGATCCCTCTATGAAAGAAGTCTAAGATAAATGGCAGTTCATCACAGCCTAAGGTGCCCAAGAATGGCAGGAACAGAGCCATTGAGACCTGTGCTGGCCTGGAGCCTTGTCTCGTAGGAGATATTACATTGCTCGTGTGTATTCCGCGAGATGGAAAAAGGATGCTTCAGCCACTCGGCCTGCTCCTCTGCCAGAGCATTTAAATTGATGTTGCCAGTCTCGGCCCAGGCGGGGGTTGAGCTGGTACATAATTTCTAAAAGAACTGAGTGACTACTCTACTGATCTGCATAGGAGAGTTGAACGTAGCAAACTCATTGATGATTTGCAGAATGGAATTAGATATCCACCAGAAGTTTGCGATCGTATGGAGGAAGGCCCTGTCTTTGTTCCCTTCTTTTAGCCATTTGAACTAGATCTCTGGAACCAGTATAATTCTTCTTGCTTATCAATCTTGTTGAATTCCCCTTGGCCACCAGCCTCCCATTTCTTTCTGTCTGAGATAGGTCTCTAATTTGCTCAGCAAGATCCAAGTTATCAATTCCTTCAAGAAGATTCTACTTCTCATGGAGATTACCAAACTAGCAGTAATTCCATCATCTGAGCTTAACTGTTAACAATTGGATTTCTTTTTTCAGGGGGTGTATCCTGCAGAGCATGCACTGCAGAGGTGGTCCACGGTATGAGTAATTCCCAATCAGTCGAGCACCTTGACCCATTTCTTAGAGCCCAACAGTCAAAGAAACAGTCAGTTGCTATAAAATTTGATTCTGGGTACTTCATGAACTCATGAATTTAGGTCTCAAACAATATTACAGAATTCTAGGACAGAGAAATAAGAAAAAGACTTGAGCAGTTTGGACAATCCAAATTAGCGAACTCCCTAAATTTTCGTACCAGGAAGAGAGCAACACAGGGCAGTATTAAAAAAAACCAAAGGAGATCATTTTCCCCCTTCACCTTGGTTGATGCGAAACAAATAGAAAAGAGATATGGAGCCAATTGACAGGGTCTATCATTCCTTCATCAGTTAACCGTATATCAAAATGATTTTGAGCTTTTTCATGCATTACAAATTTATAAATCTATAAAATTGCAAGAAGTCCATAATTTGGAAAAACGAGGGTCTGCAGTCCTCTTCTCAAAATAAGGAATGGCCTTATTGTAATGTACATCAAGTTAAGTCCACTAGGCAGGTCCAAAAAAGTCCCCTAAACGTTTAAAAGAACTAACATTACAAATTTATAAATTTATAAAATTGCACGAAGTCAATCATTTGGAAAAACAGGGGTCTGCAGTCCTCTTCTCAAAACAGGGAATGACCTTATTGTAAGGTACATCATGTTCAGTTCACGAGGCAGGTCCAAAAAAGTCCCCTACACATTTAACAGAACTGCATCAATTCATTTTAGGGATGTTATAGAAACTATTAGTCAGTACGATTGACTACAATGGGCAACATGTAAAGAGAATAAAGAGAACAACAATAAAGAGAACACCACATTAACTGGCGAGACTGGGCAGCAAACAAGATAAGTCTCTCCTTCGTGAGAAATTTCCGGAAATCTTATTCTTCAAGACGAATGCTAAAAATGTACATGCGTATGGAAATATACACCCTTAGTCCACATATTGAACAATAAGGTGAGAAGTACATACCACACTCTTTATCCTTCTTTGAGACCTTTGATTTCTTGGATCGCCTACCAGATGATTTATTAAAAAGATAATTGTATTTCTCCAATACCGTTTCCTTTTCATCACATCGGCCCAATAATTCATATGAATTTGCCACCTTCAGAACAATAGACTTTTCTGGAGGTTCTCGATCAAATGTTTCAAGTCCCTTGAAAAGCTTCAGGTACAAACAAAAAATTCAAATTTAGTTCCTCTGTATCTGAACCTTATCACAAACACTACCTTATCACAAACACTACAACAAATTACTAGAACTTTCAAAATTTCCAGATCTCTTTCAGCCAAAACAAACATATTGCATATACCCCATCAGAAAATATTTGGGAGTTAAATTAAACATATTTATTTAGTTCCTGTCATTGGAGCGGCACATAACTCTGTTCAAAGGAAAACCACAGGCAAATCTTAGAGTTCACCATAATTTGGGGCACGAAAAACCTCAAGGAATGTTCTTCTTCATGAATAATTAATAATATCTTAACTCTTGAATAGGTGGACTTGGATGGTGGAACATGGCTGAATTGACAATGATCGATGATGGCCCTCTAGCTAGTTTGAGGAATGGTTTAGCCACTATCTCAAGATAGAAGTCGCTCCAACAGGGTAAATTACATTCCTTAAGTTCAATTGGGTTGAACATTCTTTAAGTACAATTGGGTTGAAACAAACCTATCATTCCGGTACAACAAAATAGGAACAAAGAAATTCTTGCTCCTTCTTGACCTGGTACAATGAGACACCAGAAATTTTTCTATATACAAATTTAGAGAGGAGAGAGAGAGAGAGAGAGAGAGAGAGAGAGAGAGAGAGAGAGAGAGAGAGAGAGAGAGAGAGAGAGAGAGAGAGAGAGAGAGAGAGAGAGAGAGAGAGAGAGTAGAGTAGTAGTAAGTAGTAGTAAGTAACGTAAGTAAGTAAGTAACGTAAGTAAGTAAGTAAGTAACGTAAGTAAGT